GGTAGGTGAGGGAAGAGTGGGTGCTGTACATGCAACGCAAGTCTGCTCTCTCTCTCTCTCTCAAAACAAATCCATGCGCTAGTTATAGTCTCTTCACCTCCACACTGTGGAGCTCACAGTGTAAGTTGTATAAATCGGCCGCCGAACTGTCATTAAGAAGCTGTCCTGAAGCTTGACTCATGGTTCTCCAGTCAACCGCTCAAGAAAAACATATAGGGCCGACTGTGAGGTCTGAGTCGTACCGAAATCGCGCAGAATAAGGCCAATACCAATGTCTTTTTGTCCTCTATTACTGATGAAGTGGTTAAAAATGCATCGATACGGAATAGAAATTAAAAAGAGGCGTCGTTTACATAATCAAAGGGGAAAGACGAGCAGCTGCTGGGTAGTCAAAAAAGTAAACAACCACGCCTACTCACATATTAATAGTAGTACGATTACATCAAATTAGTATTATCGTATAGGTTAACGTGCAACTCGTGAACGGGACGTTTGATGCATGTCCATTTTACGTACACATTTGGTGAAAGCAGCATTTTGGGAAGATCGTCACTCGCTGCTACCACTCAGTTACTGTATAAAAACTTCTTTTCATAGATCCTTGGTAGCAAGTTACTTTTTCAAATTTCATGCTTTAAGAAAGGGGTTGCCTCAGTTTTAAAAAAAGTTTATTTTTATGAAATTTTGTAGGACCGTCCGATATCCATGCATAAAGCATCGTACCTGTCCAGTTTTAATGCTGCTTATAAATTATACAGCATGGCGTAAATACATATGTACTTTTCCTTAGAATGTATAAAGAATGTATTTTGCAAACCCTGAATGCAATTTCAACTCTAAGCCGGGTTTAAAATTACTGTGCAATTTAATTTAAAAAATGTCTGCCTCCAGGCATAAGAAATTGAAAGACATAATTTTCAACAAATGAGTCCAAAATCACTATTTTCGGGCGTGTCTTCTACAGAATATACTTATATTTGTTAGGAAATCAAAATAAATAAGGAAAATTAACTCATGCAGCCATTTCTACAGTGGTTCGCTTTAGTAGTTGACGGAAAAACCTCGTTTAAATGCCGATATCCCTACGTGCCTGAAATATCTTGGGATTATGCTGCACGATAATTATTATGGCTACTTAAATAATCTTTTAAAAACCAAAAAAATGTCAAAGTTCGGTTAACTTTTAATGAGCTAACACATCTGTTTGTATAAGTAAGAACCAGCCCGGCAAGGAGCCAGTGGTTCAATGGTTATAGCATTAGACTTCTTCTCAAAGGCTCACGGGTTTGAGCCTGGGTTAGGGCGCCACTTGGAGTCATACCCTCTTGAAGTGTTCATTTGGATGTCTTATATGTAGGGAGAAAACTCAATCTGTGTAAAATACTTTTGCCTAGTGGCAGGCGGGGAGCTTGAACGTGGCCAATGATTGTATCTGACTCGAGGATTAAAAATCAGTTGCGTCCATCCAACACTGCTTTTAAGTTTAAGACATTTTTTACTTCAAGGTGTCGCTCTGCTCAACCAACAACCAAACCAGCAACCTAAACAACAACAACTAACTGCAACAAAACCCGCCACTCCCAAAAATTCATTTGCCAAAGGACTCCAGGACAACGCCGCTGAAGACGAGGTCCCAATTGTTCATCTCGGTGATGCTAGTATCGCTGCCCCCTTCACGGCGAAAATGTCCTCGGCTATCGGAGGTAATCCCCACTTTTTCCCTGACTCGAAATATACTATTCATAGGTTCATTGAAATGGATCTGATAAGTATCTCCCGTAATATCTGCTCTCCAAACCTCTCTCTGCTCTCCACCCTCCTTCCTCAGGAAATCCTCATTCTACACTAAGCACTGGCGTTTTCTCTTACTTTCAAACTCGTACCACCTTTTATTCATA